AAAATGGCCCCTGTGACAGCATTGTGTCAAGAGGGGTGAAGACTGTGTCCTGGCAATGGCCAAGGATGTTCTTTGTTTTGGGACTTGTGTTCTCAGGTAAAACAGATGAACTTTTGCTTTGGCTGGAAGGTCAAAAGCACTAAAACTGCTGGATGTAAAGAGAGAACTGGTGGATAAACTGAGGCAGTGACACTGAGGTAGGCATCTGTGCAGAACGCTCTGGAGAGGTGAGGGGTGGAAAGAAACTGAAACAGAGTTGCTAAAAGGACTAGGAAGGGACTGGGAGAGAGGCTGAAGCCGTCAAGAATCGGAGAAAAGAAGTTTCATGTCTCCCATGTAGATCTTTCGGGGCTACTTGAGCAGGGGGTATGTATGTGAAAAGCAGTGTGGTAAACTGTTGCTCAAAATAAGCTTCTACAAATATGAAAATATGAACAGGGTTTGTGGATGGATTATTGGAATTATTTCCATTAATTTTGGTGGTGCTGCGACTGGAAGTCAGGTGTTGGGAGATGCCCTCCTTCCAAATACTCTGATCGGATTTAGAATCCCTCATCTTAGTGCATACCCAAAGCCAGAAGTGTTCAAATTTCTAACCCTTGCCTTCCCTAAGGGAGCAGAGCCTGTTGCATCATTTTAAACTTTGTCACCTTCATCTATTGTGGCACAGATTTTTCCAACACTAAATGTCTCCAGCCAACAGCAGCAGCTGTCTGTTTTTATGACTGGGGACAATGTCAGAGGCTGAGGGAGGTAAAAAACAACTAATCAGCTATAGAGAAATATTTCCCCGTTGTGAACGTTTGAAATGACAGCACTAGTGTAGTTTAAAGAAAAATTACAGCATAAAGTTGCAGATGGAATTAGTTGCTCCTATGTACCAACTTTTACATCACTCACGCCGGTCATACTCACTTTTTTATCAGCCATATTTGTATTATAGTTCATAAAAGGAAACCCCAAAATACAAGTGAATAAAATACTTAAATGACCACAGTTATTTCAAATAGCTACATTATATATAGATATTAGATACTAATAGGCACCCTAGGGCAATCATAGATCTTATGCATTAGGAAACCCTTATTTACACTATGTAGGCCAGAACAAATATTAACTAATCTGCGCAACTATTAGTCACTCGTTTATTTCATTCTCACAAAACAAACAGGTTTTTTAGCTCGGTATTTGTTAGGTAACTCTGTTTTTACTTGCTGCAAGTAACAAAGCTCTTTCAAAGGGTGAAATCTTGGCCACACTCAAGTCAACAAATCTTGCTGCTGATGTCAGTGGAGACAGCATTTCAGGTGTGCTTTTTGCACTGGTTTCACTCCTGAGCGGTTTCATTTTATCATCAGGTTTGAGGATGGTTCACAATGATTTTTCCTTTCTTCAAATTAAACTACATCAATGCTGCTCCTGGCACCATATAGCAAAGGATGCTGAAGGGCACAGAAATGGACATCTTCCCAAGAGACCAATCACGTGGCCTCCCCTTAATGTGCTTATTCTCCAATTCTCTTGCATAGCGTCAGAGAGAACGTGGCAAGGCAGCATACAAACTCAGGACAGCTGACAGGTACAGTACAATAATAGCATACAAATGAAAGCTTCATGGGCAGAGCAGAGCCAGCCCCACACTTCTTAGCACACAAGATTTTTTGCAGGAAAATAGGAAGTCTTCAAGACAAATGAGAAGTAAAACATCACTGCCTATCTGTGATCTATACCAGAGTTTAATACCATGCTGGTTTCTGTGAGAACTCAGACCACTTTTTTTTTAATTCAACCATAAAAAAAGGATCGGGGCTGAGTTGGGGGGAGGAGGAAATCTGGTCATGTGTTTAATCTTGACTAAGATTATGGATTTGAAATTTAACTACAAGGTCACTTGCCCCAAGAAGCTTCCCTACTAGTAACATGTCCTTTAAAAGCTTCTTTTAAAAGGATATAAGAGAATAAAGCATTTAATCCATGTAACTACCTCTGAAAATGGGAGCCTAGAAATTTCTGTAAGTTACTGAAACAGCTACCAAACCATCTGTGCAGAGTAGTGTACATTTATGAGCTTAGGTTATTTCTGTTCAGGACTTTGTTTAGTGAGTGAATGAGTACTTGCTCTCATAACAGATTCAAATTCAATCACTGCATGCCTCCACCTACTCATCCAAATAACCCCAGGCTTTTTGGCTATGTATTCAACTGCTTCATCTAGCACAAGGAGATGGTTTCTATCGGTATCCAAAGTAAGTCTTAGTCTGGCACCAGCAAATGTGGTATTAGGGTATGTCTACACTACGAAATTAGGTCGAATTTATAGAAGTCGGTTTTTTAGAAATCGGTTTTATATATTCGAGTGTGTGTGTCCCCAAAGAAAATGCTCTAAGTGCATTAAGTGCATTAACTCGGCGGAGCGCTTCCACAGTACCGAGGCAAGCGTCGACTTCCGGAGCGTTGCACTGTGGGTAGCTATCCCACAGTTCCCGCAGTCTCCGCTGCCCATTGGAATTCTGGGTTGAGATCCCAATGCCTGATGGGGCTAAAACATTGTCGCGGGTGGTTCTGGGTACATATCGTCAGCCCCCCGTTCCCTCCCTCCCCCCGTGAAAGCAAGGGCAGACAATCATTTCGCGCCTTTTTTCCTGAGTTACCTGTGCAGACGCCATACCACGGCAAGCATGGAGCCAGCTCAGGTAACCGTCACCCTATGTCTCCTGGGTGCTGGCAGACGCGGTACGGCTTTGCTGCACAGTAGCAGCAACCCATTGCCTTCTGGCAGCAGACGGTGCAATACGATTGGTAGTCGTCCTCGTCGTGTCCGAGGTGCTCCTGGCCACGTCGGCTGGGAGCGCCTGGGCAGACATGGGCGCAGGGACTAAATTTGGAGTGACTTGACCAGGTCATTCTCTTTAGTCCTGCAGTCAGTCCTATTGAACCATCTTATGGTGAGCGGGCAGGCGATACAGACTGCTAGCAGTCGTACTGTACCATCTTCTGCCAGGCAGGCAAGAGATGAGGATTGCTAGCAGTCGTATTGTACCATCTTATGCCAGGCAGGCAAGAGATGAAGATGGCTAGCAGTCGTACTGTACCATTTTCTGCCGAGCAGCCATGAGATGTGGATGGCATGCAGTCCTTCTGCACCGTCTGCTGCCAGCCAAAGATGTAAAAGATAGATGGAGTGGGTCAGAACAAGAAATAGACCAGATTTGTTTTGTACTCATTTGCCTCCTCCCCTGTCTAGATCACACTGCAGTCACTCACAGAGAAGGTGCAGCGAGGTAAATCTAGCCATGTATCAATCAGAGGCCATGCTAACCTCCTTGTTCCAATAACAACGATAACTTAGGTGCACCATTTCTTATTGGAACCCTCCGTGCAGTCCTGCCTGAAATACTCCTTGATGTACAGGCACACCCTTTGTTAATTTTAGCTCCCTGAAGCCAACCCTGTAAGCCGTGTCGTCAGTCGCCCCTCCCTCCGTCAGAGCAACGGCAGACAATCGTTCCGCGCCTTTTTTCTGTGCGGACGCCATACCAAGGCAAGCATGGAGGCCGCTCAGCTCACTTTGGCAATTAGGAGCACATTAACCACCACACGCATTATCCAGCAATATATGCAGCACCAGAACATGGCAACGCGATACCGGGAGAGGAGGCGACGTCAGCGCGGTCCCGTGAGTGATCAGGACATGGACACAGATTTCTCTGAAAGCATGGGCCCTGATAATGCATGCATCATGGTGCTAATGGGGCAGGTTCATGCTGTGGAACGCCGATTCTGGGCTCGGGAAACAAGCACAGACTGGTGGGACCGCATAGTGTTGCAGGTCTGGGACGATTCCCAGTGGCTGCGAAACTTTCGCATGCGTAGGGGCACTTTCATGGAACTTTGTGACTTGCTTTCCCCTGCCCTGAAGCGCATGAATACCAAGATGAGAGCAGCCCTCACAGTTGAGAAGCGAGTGGCGATAGCCCTGTGGAAGCTTGCAACGCCAGACAGCTACCGGTCAGTTGGGAATCAATTTGGAGTGGGCAAATCTACTGTGGGGGCTGCTGTGATGCAAGTAGCCCACGCAATCAAAGATCTGCTGATATCAAGGGTAGTGACCCTGGGAAATGTGCAGGTCATAGTGGATGGCTTTGCTGCAATGGGATTCCCTAACTGTGGTGGGGCTATAGACGGAACCCATATCCCTATCTTGGCACCAGAGCACCAAGCCGCCGAGTACATAAACCGCAAGGGGTACTTTTCGATCGTGCTGCAAGCTCTGGTGGATCACAAGGGACGTTTCACCAACATCAACGTGGGATGGCCGGGAAAGGTGCATGATGCTCGCATCTTCAGGAACTCTGGTCTGTTTTAAAAGCTGCAGGAAGGGACTTTATTCCCAGACCAGAAAATAACTGTTGGGGATGTTGAAATGCCTATATGTATCCTTGGGGACCCAGCCTACCCCTTAATGCCATGGCTCATGAAGCCGTACACAGGCAGCCTGGACAGTAGTCAGGAGCTGTTCAACTACAGGCTGAGCAAGTGCAGAATGGTGGTAGAATGTGCATTTGGACGTTTAAAGGCGCGCTGGCGCAGTTTACTGACTCGCTTAGACCTCAGCGAAACCAATATTCCCACTGTTATTACTGCTTGCTGTGTGCTCCACAATATCTGTGAGAGTAAGGGGGAGACGTTTATGGCGGGGTGGGAGGTTGAGGCAAATCGCCTAGCTGCTGGTTACGCGCAGCCAGACACCAGGGCGGTTAGAAGAGCACAGGAGGGCGCGGTACGCATCAGAGAAGCTTTGAAAACCAGTTTCATGACTGGCCAGGCTACGGTGTGAAAGTTCTGTTTGTTTCTCCTTGATGAAACCCCCCGCCCCTTGGTTCACTCTACTTCCCTGTAAGCTAACCACCCTCCCCTCCTCCCTTTAATCATTGCTTGCAGAGGCAATAAAGTCATTGCTGCTTCACAGTCATGCATTCGTTATTCATTCATCACACAAATAGGGGGATGACTACCAAGGTATCCCAGGAGGGGTGGTGGAGGAGGGAAGGAAAATGCCACACAGCACTTTAAAAGTTTACAACTTTAAAATTTATTGAATGACAGCCTTCTTTTTTTTGGGTAATCCTCTGTGGTGGAGTGGCTGGTTGGCCGGAGGCCCCCCCACCGCGTTCTTGGGCGTCTGGGTGTGGAGGCTATGGAACTTGGGGAGGAGGGCGGTTGGTTACAGAGGGGCTGCAGTGGCAGTCTGTGCTCCAGCTGCCTTTGCTGCAGCTCAACCATACACTGGAGCATACTGGTTTGGTCCTGCAGCAGCCTCAGCATTGAATCCTGCCTCCTCTCATCACGCTGCAGCCACCTTTGAGCTTCAGCCCTGTCTTCAGCCCGCCACTTACTCTCTTCAGCCCGCCACCTCTCCTCCCGGTCATTTTGTGCTTTCCTGCACTCTGACATTATTTGCCTCCACGCATTCGTCTGTGCTCTGTCAGTGTGGGAGGACAGCATGAGCTCGGAGAACATTTCATCGCGAGTGCGTTTTTTTTTTCTTTCTAAGCTTCACTAGCCTCTGGGAAGGAGAAGATCCTGTGATCATTGAAACACATGCAGCTGGTGGAGAAAAAAAAAAAGGGACAGCGGTATTTAAAAAGACACATTTTATAAAACAGTCGCTACACTCTTTCAGGGTAAACCTTGCTGTTAACATTACATACATAGCACATGTGCTTTCGTTACAAGGTCGCATTTTGCCTCCTCCCACCGCGTGACTACCCCCTCAACCTTCTCCCCTCCCTGTGGCTAACAGCGGGGAACATTTCTGTTTAGCCACAGGCAAACAGCCCAGCAGGAATGGGCTCCTCTGAGTGTCCCCTGAAGAAAAGCACTCTATTTCAACCAGGTGACCATGAATTATATCTCACTCTCCTGAGGATAACACAGAGAGATAAAGAACGGATTTTGGTTGAATGCCAGCAAACATACACTGCAATGCTTTGTTCTACAGTGATTCCCGAGTACGTGTTACTGGCCCGGAGTGGTAAAGTGTCCTACCATGAAGGACGAAATAAGGCTGCCCTCCCCAGAAACCTTTTGCAAAGGCTTTAGGACTACATCTAGGAGAACCGCAAATGCCAGGGCAAAGTAATCCTTTCACATGCTTGCTTTTAAACCATGTATAGTAGTTTAAAAGGTACACTCACCAGAGGTCCCTTCTCCGCCTGCTGGGTCCAGGAGGCAGCCTTGGGTGGGTTCGGGGGGTACTGGCTCCAGGTCTAGGGTGAGAAACAGTTCCTGGCTGTCGGGAAAACCGGTTTCTCCGCTTGCTTGCTGTGAGCTATCTACAACCTCCTCCTCATCATCATCATCATCTTCGTCCCCAAAACCTACTTCCGTATTGCCTCCATCTCCATTGAAGGAGTCAAACAACACGGCTGGGGTAGTGGTGGCCGAACCCCCTAAAATGGCATGCAGCTCATCATAGAAGCGGCATGTTTGGGGCTCTGACCCGGAGCGGCCATTCACCTCTCTGGTTTTCTGGTAGGCTTGCCTCAGCTCCTTTAGTTTCACGCGGCACTGCTTCGGGTCCCTGTTATGGCCTCTGTCCTTCATGCCCTGGGAGATTTTGACAAAGGTTTTGGCATTTCGAAAACTGGAACGGAGTTCTGATAGCACGGATTCCTCTCCCCAAACAGCGATCAGATCCCGTACCTCCCGTTCGGTCCATGCTGGAGCTCTTTTGCGATTCTGGGACTCCATCATGGTCACCTGTGCTGATGAGCTCTGCATGGTCACCTGCAGCTTGCCACGCTGGCCAAACAGGAAATGAGATTCAAAAGTTCGCGGTTCTTTTCCTGTCTACCTGGCCAGTGCATCTGAGTTGAGAGTGCTGTCCAGAGCGGTCAGAATGGAGCACTCTGGGATAGCTCCCGGAGGCCAATACCATCGAATTGTGTCCACAGTACCCCAAATTCGAGCCGGCAACGTCGATTTAAGCGCTAATCCACTTGTCAGAGGTGGAGTAAGGAAATCGATTTTAAGAGCCCTTTAAGTCGAAATAAAGGGCTTCATTGTGTGGACGGGTGCAGGTTTAAATCGATTTAACGCTGCTAAATTCGACCTAAAGTCCTAGTGTAGACCAGGGCTTAGAAACAGATCAGATTCAGAAAAGCTCTGTTTTGCTCCAGCATTTTGCTTAGCAGTTACAATATTCATGTTTATTTTGGTTTTTCTTAATAACAAGAAGTCTTTCAAGAGGCACATTTCTGGGTCTCTTTTCGGCACTCCTGTAAAAACTTGAGGATATATATACACAGTTCTGTGGAAGTGTATGCTTTTCCCCCTCTCTCTGACACACAGGCCAATTTACAATCCATGATAAGTGAAATTTTAAACACTGTTTTTAGCACACATTTTATTTCCAAAGGTCACACATCTTAAAAAAAAAGAAAAGAAAAGAAAGAAAAAAAGAGAAATCTGGTAAATAGTCAGGGGGGATATAATCATTAAACAGTGACAAGGAACTGTTTATACTCAAAACACTGGAATTCATTATTACACTTGGGCTGCACATTCAGGAGGGAACAGGAAATATTTCAATAAAACAATGTGTCAGTAAGATACAAAAACCAATATGCTGGGCCATCTGAGTCAATATGGTCAGTAAAGGTAGCTAAGTTGGAAAATATTTTATCCTGTTTCATGCAAATAACTGTTTTCCCATCAACAGTAACATAACCCATAAAGCCACTGATTCTGTAGAGTAAGTAGGAATTACATTTCTAAAGGCAAAGATTTCAGATGATAATACTGTGCACTTTATAGTGCCTTTCATCTCCTAAGCACTTCACAGCACTTACTAATACATCCTGACAGTATTCTGAGGTAGCTCAGTATTATTGTCTCTATTTTACAGATAGTAAACATAGGCAGAGAGATGAAGTGACTTACCCAAAGCCACAGGGAGAACTGATGTCAGAGCTGATCACAGAACCTTGGGTTCTCTAACTCTTCTGCTCATACCACAAGCCCATCCCTCTCCATCTTATATAATATCGAGAAGTAATTTTTGCACAGACAATTGTTCCTGTACAACACAATGAAAATACTGCTGTCTAACTAGGATTTTAAGACATCGACAGTGAACAAGCCAGGATGACTTATGTTTTCTGATTGAGGAATTGAGTTGTCTAAATATAACTGGGGATGATGGACTAAAAGGGTGTTCTTGCTAACACTGTGAGACTGAGAGAAACTCAGTTAGTCCATGGAGTCTTTCAGTTACTCACAATGGACAACAGAGTAGAGGGTGGCAAGATGTATCAGTTTGGCTTCTAATCTTAACTGAGATATTTTCTGTCTTGTGTTACACCATTGAGAATGACCTCCTTGTTCAAGTCTAACATGGGATTTTCAAAGCTCAAATCTGAAACTTGAAAACTGCATTTCATATGAGATTACTCTTTGTCAGAAAAGTGTTTTGACAAATGTTAGCCAAACCTGAATCCAAGATACAGGTGCTTTTATGAAGGAAGTGTTTTGCTTTTGCATTACTGAAACTTTATATATAGTTATAAATGATTCTCAGTAATCACTCTCTCTCTCTCATCATTTCCCTTGTTTTGTTTACATTTACTAATACATGATCTATCCCTTATGGAAAATCCTATAAAATATAATAGAGAACCATAACTCTTTGATACAATTCTGTCTGTTTTAAAACAAAAAGCCAACCAAAAAAAAAAAAAAAACAAACAAACAAACACTGTAGAAAGGAAGGTCTCCTGGTCTCTTTTCCACTTTAGATTTTTACAGTACTTTAGATCCCTATTGGTTTCATTCCCATTAAATTCTATAAGATTTTTCTATAAGGAATGTTATCCCAAAGCTGAAAACCAAGTGGACACTCTGAGAAGATCATATCTCTGCTATTTATTTTCCACTTAAATAGTGGGTTTAAAATGACAGGTGATGGACACAATACATTACAAGCACGTTCAGGTTCTGGTGTTCAGGTTATACCAAGGGACAAAAATGTAAAAACCACAACAGTTAGCAGTTACTGAAAATCAAAATGAAGACCCTAAAAACCTACTTTTTTTACTTAATCACTGGGATGAAAAGACTTTGTATTGAGTGTTAACATCTGAAATATTACTATTATTGGAGATACTTGAAAAACTCCAGCTTAGGAATCTTCTTCAACATTTTTAATGCAAACTTGAGTACGAGCTACCTTTCTGAAGACTTTACAAAATTTATATTGATTGCCCAACTAAAGCCAACTCACATTTTGAGTAGACTTTAGCAGGTATTCTTGCTAGCTTTGATCCACAGACTTTCAATGAGTCGAGAAAGGACTACTTCACCCTAAATGAATAACAACACCGTGTACTTCCTTGTCACTGCCACTGGTGAACAAGTAAATTCCCAATACTCAACTCTCCCAAATCTTCAAAACAGATGGGAGCAGTCTGCATTATACCTATTAAATGAATTGCAAAAACTCCGCAGCCTCTCCAGCTCTAAAGCAGCTGCTCTTGTGAATCATAAAGGAGCTTTCAAAGCACAGTATTCACACACAGAAAAGCCCATGCCCAGCTCCAGCTGTACCAGAAGAGCCTCGCTCATATTACTTGAGAAGTATTCCAGCTATGCATGTGTAACTATTATGGATTTTTTCTAATTGCAACTGCTTCTGCTACACATTTTCTATACACTCATGCTGTTTCCCATCCACACAGCCTTGGGAGAATTTTTCTCTGTTGAACCATATGGGGCCCTCTTACTGCATTCATCTATCTATAATTTGTGTGTGTGTGTGTGTGTCTATATAGATAGAGACTATATATGTCTCTATATAGACACACACAACGTGCAAGCTGAAGCCATCTTTAGCAAAAACAAAATTGTTCTTGCCCAGTTCTATGATGTCTATTGGTCTTTTCCAATGTCATTCAACAGGAATATAGGAAACTATGTTTTAAATCTGTGTAGGTTACAAGTATTAATGGTAGTGAACTCTCCCCAGGAAATGTATACAAAGAAAACTGTCTGTGTTCTAATAGCCTTTTATTGAACTGCCTCTAATGTGACATGAATATATAATAAAATATTTAAAGTACTTTGAAATAAAATAAAATGTCTCATTATATATCTAACTATGGGCATTTGAACACTGCATCTCTCAGAAGTTGAAGGCCTTATCCAACTGTTATTGAGGTCACGTGTTTCACTAAGCACTCCTATCGGGGGTGCCCTGACAGACGTGGGTAAGACACTGCCGGTAGTTTGTACAGCCTTTTTGGCAACACACCCAGGAGGGTGAGTGGGAACAAAAAGGCTCAGTGTCTGTCAGAATCTGGAAAAACATATTTGCTCTTGTCCATTATTAAAACTGATTTTAGGCTCCTAGTTTTTGTAGAATAATTGAGTAAGAAATCAGCTTATACGTCTCAGAAACAAAGATATTTCCAGAAGAATAACTTGTGAGGAATATGACCTCTATGCTCAGAAAATGATTTTAGTTTCTTACCCTCAATTTATAAAACCGCTCTTTTAGCATTACTGCTAGATTCAACTGTTCAGCCCTAAGTCAGATATTAGAAAAACAGAACATTACAAATGAGCAATACGATTAACATTATTGGTATTTATTCATGTAAGCACAAGATAGTGTGATGAAATGAGGCTATCAGTACAACTTTTGAATTCTGACTGAAATTGCAAAGCTGTATTTTGAAAAACTGCTTTATCATCTGTGTTTATATGTATCTGTCTGGCCCTAGAGCAGATACACACCAGACACGGACAACAGGAAATAATAACAGTTAACAACTGTACTTAGACCTCACAAAGGTTATGCTAAAAAAAACCTGGTTCCTCTGGAGGGAGAGTGCAAGTTATGACCAGTGGAAACTTACCAGGAGGAGAACAAGAGAGACCAGGTAGGGTTGAAATAAAGAAACACAGAGGAAACCAGACAGAAAAAGGAAGTGTAGGGCAAAACAGAGAGCAAGGTCAAAGAAGCTGGCTGATGGGCTCAAGAAAGGAGAGGTCACCCAACATACAGGAGCTTCATAGGGCAGGGCAGCCCTGATCACTTTCCTGAGCTCAGATGGCCCCAGTAGTCTGGATAACCCAAGGGACTCAAATCCCAGCCCCAAGAATGCCCTGGAGTGTTGAGGAAACTGAGGCAGGGACATGCATTTTGTGTTTGTTGCTTTGTATGATCTGAACTCCTCTATACTTGACATGATTAAGTAGATTAAAGATATTAGATGGAGCAATGTATATGTGTTCACTGCTTCATAACTGCTGCATGCCCCTGAGAGAGTTATACTGCAACCAGAAGTAGGGTGATCAGACGTCCCGATAAAAATCGGGACCATCCCGATATTGAGCAGTTTGTCCCATGTCCCGACTGAAATATGTCCGGGACGCCATTTGTCCCGATATTTTGTTTTGGGCACAGTAGCCCTTTTTTTTTTTTTTTTTTTGCTTAGGTGGCGTGACAGGCAGGTGGAGCGGCTCACTCGGCATGTCCGGGTCTTCGTTGGCAGGTATTTCCTTCATCAGCAAGATTTATTTCCCGCTGCCGAACATGCCGGGTGAATGTAACAATTGAAAAGCCACTCCCCCTGCGACGGTCCCAATATTTGGATTTAGCATCTGGTCACCCTAACCAGAAGCTTTGGGGTAGAGCTATGGGAAAGAGCTGTATTTAAGTAACTGGGATATCTTGGGTGTCAGTGACAGTTTTTGGAGGCTAGGGCAGGTTGGCTGAGGAGCCCCATTTCTCTGATGGGGTAACAGACAGAGTCAGTGCCCAGGAAATGTGCCAGAAAGGCCAAGGGAGGAGGAACCAGTGTGGCAGGCTGCTGAGGCTTCAGAAGCTTAACACATCCCAAGTGATTCACAGCAGAGGCTTGGATTTCCCCTCCGCCCCCACCCAGCGGTCCTAGAGGGTGCTCAGAAATGGATGCTCCCGAGGATCTGTGACAGGCAGTAATCAAGAGATTTTCTTCTAAACTGTGCATTTATAGAAAGAAAGAATAGCAAGGATCAGAAAACTTAAGATGCTTTAGCTCAGGGGTGGGCAAACTTTTTGGTCTGAGGGCCACATCTGGGTATGGAAATTGTATGGTGGGCCATGAATGCTCCCAAAATTGGGGTTGGAGTGTGAGAGGGGGTGAGAGCTCCGGCTGGGGATGCAAGCTCTGGGGTGGGGCCAGAAATGAGTAGTTCAGGGTGCAGGAGGGTGCTCCAGGCTGGGGTAGGGGGTTGGGATACAGGAAGGGGTGAGTGCTCTGGCTGGAGGTGCGGGCTCTGGGGTAGGACCAGGGATGAGGGGTTTGGGGTGTAAGAGCGGGCTGGAGCTGGAGCAGAGGGGTTTGGAGTATGGGAGGGGGCTCTGGGATGGGGGTGCGGGTTCAAGGGTGGGACCAGAAAGGAGGGGTTCAGGGTGTGGGAGAGAGGTCCGGGCTGGGGAGCCCCCTCCTCCACACCCCAATCCCCCAGCCCGGACCTCTCTCCCACACCCTGAACCCCTCCTTTCTGGTCCCACCCTTGAACCCGCACCCCCATCCCAGAGCCCCCTCCCATACTCAGAGTGCAGGAGGGTGCTCTGGGATGGGGCTGAGGGGGCTCCAGGTTGGGGGAGGGGGTGAGGACTCTGGCGGGGGGTGTGGGCTCTGGGGTGGGGCTGGGATGAGGGGTTTGCACTGCAGGAGGGTGCTCTGGGCTGGGACCGAGGGGTTCAGAGGGCAGGAGGGGTATCAGGGCTGGGGTAGAGGGTTGGGGCACAGAAGGAGGTCAGGGGTGCAGGGTCTAGGCAGTGCTTACCTCAAGCAGCTCCCGGAAGCAGCAGCATGTCCCCCTTCCTTCTCCCCCAGCTCCTATGTGGAGGCGTGGTGCCAGCCAAGCGGCTCTGCACGCTGCCCCGTCTGCAGGTGCCACCCCTGCAGCTCCCCTTGGCTGCGGTTCCCAGACAATGGGAGCTGCGGAGCCGGCACTTGGGGCAGGGGCAGCATGTGGAGCCCCTTGGCTTACGTGCCAGAGGGGAGACATGCGGCTGCTTCCAGGAGC